GGCTGGGCTGGGATTTCCGCGCGGAACAACTCTTTGTGTGATCCACAGCTTGTTGTTCCAGCTTGTTGTTGCACCCACGACACAGGTGAAACTAATTATCAAGGGCAACGAATTCTTTTTTAAAAAAAGAGAGAGCGGGTATTTAGAAACAAATACTGCAGCCTTTATTTTTTATTTGGAAATGAACCTGTATGAATTACTTTTTCTTTTCTTTTTTTGCTTAAGACTTGGTTGATTCGTTTGATTAAGGATTCTCCTCACAGATTTATTCTTATCGAGAACATTGCTTGATAATGAGGATGTGACCAGCACTCTGAGTAGGTTCAATGTCTTCCCATCTATCAAGTTTACCAATAATCCTTTTAGATACTATGGTATACATAATATTGCTTTTAACTTTTGTATTGTGGTAATTCGAGACACAATTGCTGCACAAATAAGTTAGATAAATTAAAAAAGTTTATTTATTTATTTAGTGTGTACAAGTGCAATGCTCATATTATATTTCTCCAATAGTTAATGAATGTTATTATACATACACCTTACCCTCAAATCAATATATCTATAAGAAAAAGCCGCATCCAAATCCGTTGCGTAGTTTTAAAGATTTGTGCATGTATAGGGATATAGGGACAGAGAAACCGACTTTGTTTTATACTATGTAGCGATTGTCCTCTTGGGTCTGGTTCTGATCGAGCAGCGAGCTACCCTTACTCGCCGTCCGCAAACCCACGCTTACGGTTGCCGGAGATCGTCTCATGAAGATCTTGGGGCTGACGTTGTGTTTTGTCGGGTGAGTAAGGTTACCGGAGGCCCAATCCTTCTCCTCTCCCCATCCCTCCCTAATCCTTGAATCTCCAAAACCTTCATCCGCAAAAGACTAACAACGCACTCGTAACTCCTCTAGTGCTGCAGGTGTTCATGGCCAACTTATTCAACAAATAAAATAACAATCACTCTTGATCAATATTCAAATAGTCGGGCACTAAGTTGTTTTTGATGAGTCTATACCTTGTATGTTTTGACTAGATCGAGTATAGCGGAACGTATTACATAAAACAATTTTAAATGTTATTAAAAAACAAAGTACAATCACGCCCAAAACACTTATAAAATAAATAAAATAAAAAATATATAACGCACCAATTATCGTATCAACGCGCCCGCAAATAAATTAAAAAATAAATGGCATATAAGTTTTAAAGAAACCGGTTGGTTGCACAAAGAAAAAGATATCAATGAAAAGTATTTTTTTATGCTGGCAATAAATTCTTTTGAACAGAAAAGCGGGCAATAATAACATGTACGCTTCGTTCTAAATTGAGACTAAAATATGATATACGTTTGTTAATAAAAGCATTTAGATATTTTCTAGTTTTTTTTTCTAGCCGTCAAATTCGTTTCGGGAAATATGCCAAGATTTGTAGCTCGGGAGCTGGGATCTTGGATCGAGGTTAAATAGAATATTTTTTTAAAACATTTTCGGTGTATTTTTTTTAATGTAATATTTAAACGAAGCTTTGTTATTTTATATAAAATTTGTTCCGTTATTTTTTATTTTAAATAAAAATAAATAAGTTAATAATATTGCAGTATTTTGGTATATTATAAAACAGTAGATTCACCTTGCATATACACTCACTTTTCCTTGTAAACGAAATAAAAACTTCATCGAATTTTAATAAAACTTGAAACAAATAAATAAATACGGGTAAGTATTATAGTATTTGAAAAACATCCAGAGAACATTTTACTTTAAGAATTCTAAAAAAATTATTTTGCACAAGCATTCCAAGAAATTCAAACTTCACAGACACAGCACATCAAACTTCTTATATCCGTCCAATTTTTTCAATGGACTTTCGTCATTATACCTAAGCAATAAAGTTGAAAATTACTAACAGTATAGTGTAGTATGATCTGCTAGTATGGATATCTATACTATTTCTTCTATGAGTGTAAAGGAAAAGCTTCTTGTATTAACATAGTAATTCGTTGTCCTAGATTCGTTGCTAATTTGCCGCCTCATTGGTATTGTAGTCTATGTTCGAACCTAATTAACTATAAAATAAATTGGTATTGGCTTTTTCCTGATCTTTCTACTGTGTTCCTGATAGAAAAATTTAGTTTTACATATCAATTAACAGCTTCAGTGCACTTTTGGTATCAAAATTAACATTATAAGCAAAAGCCTCTCAAAAGGAGAATGTGCCAGTACCTATTAATAAAAAAAACTAAATTAACAAACTTAAGGTGGATTAACGATTTCAAATTTATAAATAATACTAGTACCTGCTATTATATACCGCTTGTGATTTTTTTGAGACATTGTTCTACCCTTTTTTTTTACTTTTTTCTTGTGAGGTGAAAATCATCAAATGACTTCTCCCATCCATTAGTGTCAGACTCTTACTGACTTACTGACAAACCCCCGTTCCTTTTCCTGTTCTAAGCTGAGGTCGCGGTGCTACATTGCGCTTACCCCGCAACCCCGACTGATTTTCTCGTATGTTGTGGTTGAGTATACATACATCACACCCAGACCCGAAACAACAATCTGTAGATCACACACACTTTTGCTTCGTGCGGGAACCGAACTCGCAATACGTGTATGCGAGTTTCCAGTCACAACTCCAACTGACTGAGATGCCTAAATAATCTTAAAAAGCATATTTAAAACTAGGAAAAGTTCCAATGACACTTGCCAGGTTAAGAAGACATACCGTCAGACACAAGAAGCTGGCGCCTTTAACTCCAGTTTACCACGCCATTCAGCCATTACTTTACATTACATGAAACTAAAACAAAATTAGCGTAAAATTAGTAATAACTTACATCAACTGGACCGTAGCGAAATGCAATGAAGCTTTCAAATATTTAATAACCCAAAATTATTTGGAGGATTGTGGGAGAGCCACGCTTCCCCACGAATGGATCAGCTCGACCGGAGCGATACCTCACAGAAAACTGGCGTGAAGCAATACTTACGTTGTATTTTGCCCTCTGTTTGAGGTAATCGGAAACCCAATCCACCCCCCATCCTCTCTCTTATACTCCCTATCCTTAAATCTCTAACAACCCATAAGATGCAATGAACTGGTAGTAACTCCTTTGGTTTACAAGTGTCCATGGGCAGCGCTAATTGCCTACCATCAGGTAATCCGCCTGCTCGTTTGCCGACCAATGACATAAAAAAATATCGCCAAACTCATAACAAATCTGTGCACCAACAAAAGTCTTTCAATCACCAAACTCCAAGCGAACACATTCGCGAACCTATTGTTTGGCTGTTGTGTCTCGTATTACCACGATTGAAATATTAAACACTTGACTAGAAAAACTAGTACATCTTATGTAACCCTCTTAAATAAGCGTAGAAACGATGCGTCCTAGATTTCACTATAATTTATTTGAAACAGAACAAAGCTCCCAAAATAGTATTCTTAGATTTTATGATCTGCAGACAACAAACTGTGTTGAGGTTATAAAAGATTTGTGTACAGGAATTTAGGACTACTGTCTTGTTTGTTTAAGATCATTTTTGTGTGGACAGTAGTGCTGAGATAGGTTCAGGATGAATGGTACTTTGATATCAACTTCCTTGCTTGGATTGTCGGAATAATTTATTTTCTTTTTCTTCTACGCGTTGGTGAGTTATTTTGGTAGTTGTTTGGTATTCCTGTATTTTCTCTTGTTGACACAGATGAAATAATTCAGGAAGGCAGGTTTATCTCAAAATAATATTGAATAGTGAATGTTTTCTTTAAAAAAAGAATGTTATTTAAATTAAATTTAAAAAAAATATCATTCCATAATCAAAAATAGTAACCATAGACTAAACATACAAGTTCTGTGAACAGTCCTATTTTTATACCTTAACCTCCTTTAAGATTCGTTCAAAACAAAATACTGTCAAACTCAATTAGGGCTTTAGTATTCAGAAAGTATCTTTGTAATTTGAATCTAAAATATTCATAGCTTAAGACTCCAAACACAAGGGACACGGATTTGATGTCTAATTTGACAATGGCGTGCCAATTTTTGGATAATACTGGCCATTATTTGAAATGAGACTAATTCCTTTTAATTCAACAGTTCAAGGATTTTCTTTTGTTTTTCTCATTAATGAATTGTTTTTTTTATTTGTTCGCAGCTACGCAAGTGTGTAATGCTGATACTAAATCTCTGTCTGTCTGTCTGTCTACTCTTTCTCTGTCCCTGTATCCTTATGTATGCTAAAATCTTTAAAACTACGCAACGGATATTGATGCGGTTTTTTAATAGATAGTGATTGAAGAGGAAATAAAATCCATTATATAGTTGAGAAATTTAGTATCAGCGTAGAAGCGAAGCTGGGACGGCTCGCTAGTATATAATATAAAAAGCCCCTTTGAGCACAGATAACAATCATTAAGTAGGTGTCTATAAAAATAAAACTGTCTATATTACAGCCTTTCATTCATTATTGTTACTTCAAAAGTAATTTTATTTGTAATACCAAAAAGGTTTTCGTACATTTAATGTGTGTGTTCAAAGAATTGAACAAGTTTATTTCACAATAAAATCTAACTAGGACCCAATAAAATACCCAATTTATGCACATGAGAAATAAAAGTCATCATTAAACTTTATGTGCGCGATTGTACAGACGCAAGCACAACATTCTACCCTAAACTGACAAAATTTTATAAAGGGTTTGTAACTTTATTACGCTATGAATAATGTTCAAAATCTCTTGATCTGTTTGGGGTATGTTCATAAGCTCGTGTCCACACAACACGACCCTTCGCGAAACACGATTTTTATGGTACGTCCAAACGTATTAAATACAGATTTATAGGTTTTCATTTCCATCAACATTATCTAAATACATTTACGAGCGATAAATATGAAACAAAAATAAATAAAAATTGGTCCAAGCTCCCGAACTGAACGGACATTTGTAAAAATAGTGTCGAGTGTTACCAAACTCGAGAGCAGTTTATTGCTGGCCACAGGCGACAACCGACTTTCCCGCCGTTCCAAATTTGAATAGTCCGTTTCGGAATTCGAAATTTGTGCGATCTTTTTTTTCTAGTGTCAAAAGTTTTTTTTTTTCTGTAAGAAGCTTGGTGTAGTCTTTTTTTATTTTGAAAGGTTTTACTCGATTTCGTTTTATTGTGAATAGTGGTAGGACTTTTAGTGTTTTCTCTGTTAATTTGTTTTTGTGTTAAGTTTGTGAGCTTTATTGTGTTACTGTGTTGAATGTTAATGTGATCGTCTTCGAGGGCCTAAGGAGATAAAAAGGTACCTGTATTGTTTTCTTTATAATTATGCTTCTTCTATTTTCAATACTTTTCACAGTCTTTTGTTAAATTCGTTGTCGATTGAAGACTGATATACAGTATAAGTAAATGATATTTTATGATAATGAAGAAACATTAAGTACCTATTTCATTGTCAATATACTTTAGTAGTTACGTAAATATATTATGAATTACATATATTTTGTTTTTAACTTGTAAAATTTTCTAACTCTGAGTAATGTTTGTAATAAAAAAGCACCTAATATGACTCCCGATAGTCGAATATTTCTTTATTAATTACTTATTATTAATTTAATTTTTGCTTTATAAGGTACCCAATCTTACAAGTCCTTCTATATTTATCGAGGAAAAGATAATAAATTAATTCTAATGTTTGTGACATTTAAATTATAAAAGAATTCCATAACAGTTCGTTCCAAAGACGAAACTTATTTTTTTTTTGTACGTCAAGAGAGGTTGTTTGTGAGTTGTGACGGATTTTTAGTCTGTGATTTTATGATATTTTTTGTTTTTAAATATACCTAATACGTACCTGAAAAATATTATATAAATTTTGAATTCGAAAAAATTATTAATGATCGCATTATTTTTTTATATTTTATAGTACTTATTGAAATATAAACATAATATTTTTTTGACTGAGGAAAATATTTAATAGTTATTTGTATCTATACTAATATTATAAAGAGGTAAAATTTGAAAGTTTGTATGTTTGTAAGTTTGTATGTAGGGAGTAATCTTTGGAACCGCTGGTTTGATTGCCAAAATTCTTTCACTGATAGATAGCTACAATGTTCCTGAGTGCTATAGGCTACAAAACATCACGCTAGGATTAAATGGAGCAAACCGCGAGAGACTAGCTAGTTACTTAACTAATAAAATATAAAGTTTTTACCGATCATTAAATTGAACCAACTAGTTACAGTTTTTTTGAACAACATCCTCACTCATACTTTATGATCAACATCTTTTTTTATTGAAAATAACGACTTACTCACTTGAATTAACTTAGAAATGCTCTACTGGTTTCAAGTCACAACGGGACTCTTATTCATGAGCAGCGTAAGCGTCGCAGCGAAATCAAAAAAACCCGTCGCCTCGTCCCATTATGATGGATTCTACTAATTGGGTAGTTTCCTAGGTCCAAAATAAATCAATTCCACGTTTCAATACAATAAAATATTGAAAGATTTTTATTTATAGACTTTTATTCATCGATCCATAGATAGTTAATCTAAGTTTTAGATATTTTTTAGCTATCTTTTAATAAATAAGTAAGGTATTTGACGCAAAAATTCTATGACGTCATAACTCAGCATTTCATACAAATTTCATAGAAAAGTATCGTTTTTGACATTTGAATGAGAGTATTGAATTTTTGACTAGTTGGAATCTACCGTATTATAAATGCGAATTTTTTTTCTACTTGGATGGATGTATTTTACTCTTTCACGTAAAATTGTTAAGTTAGGTAAAACAGATTATATTACACACATAGAAAGCTTTTTACCTTAGTACCGCGCGCGAAGTCACTGGGAGAAACTAGTCCTGTTTATTACACGACTGCCCACAAAAAGGAGTGTTATGTTTTTAGGGTTCATGTATGTATGATATTTTTTCTTTATTCCACTGTAACTTGCAAAGGCCTGGTTTTATTGTTATTATAATCGTTTTCAATATCTATGAATATTAACTATACCTATAATTATAAAAATGATGAATTTGTGTTAATACAATTTTGAAATTGTAATTATCCACCTCATATCCCTCACGGAAAACTGGCGTGAAACAACCACAGCTTTGTGTTTCGCCGTGTGAGTGAGGTTACCGGAGGCCCAATCCCTAAATTCTCCCAAATCCCTAATCCCCAAAAGGTTGGCAACGCACTCGTAACTCCTCTGTTGTTGCGGGTGTCCATGGGCGGCGCTGATTGCCATCAGGTAATCCGTTTGCTCGTTTGCCGATCTATTTCATTAAAAAAATGTAATGAACGAACTTGACTTCCACCACAACAAACTCAGACCATGATAAATTCTAGCCGGTTATTAAAACACATTTTAAATTCTTTGGAACAATTGACTATCTGGCAACATCGAAGCGAATTAGCACAAAATTTCAACGCAATCTAGCACCTACTTATAAATGACCCACTTGCCGACCACTTAGTGATGGCAATGTTACCAGAGTAAATAAATAGCATCGAGAAAGGCTCTTTCCCCAAATTGGGGTAAATTTCTTAACTCACGATGGGATCGTGAACATATTTCTTTATTCCGCGTGTCTCATTAAGACGGAGGTTGAACCAAGTGCTAATGTGCTTAATGATCGTTACAAGAGAAGTTTTATACTGTGACTTTGGTCGTCGGATAAACCTCGTGTTTTTTAGATATCTATACGCTTAGTATAACATAGTTCTGAAGACACACAATAATTTTAATGAATATAAAACCTTTCTTGAGACATTCTAAATTAATTATTATGTTTTCGGCTAACTCACGTAATAATTTGACGAGATACTCGCATTCGCGTGGATGGCGCATGGCCTGTAATGGCATGGCTTCAAACTATTCGAGTATCTCGTCAAATTATTACGTGAGTAAGCCGAAAACATAATAATTAATTTATAATATAAAATCGTTGAAAGCATAACACAAGAAGAGGCAAAATACGTGTGTACGCAAACGATCAATCGTATTACCTGATGGTAAGCAATTAGCGCCGCCCATGGACACCAACGACGGAGGAGTAACGAGTGCGTTGCCGATCTTTTGGGGATTATGAATTTGGAGACTTTGGAAAATAAGACTGATTGGGGAAGGGGAATGATTGGGGAAGGAGAAGGATTGGGCCTCTGGTAACCTCACTCACAAGGCGAAACACAACGCTATGGTTTTTTTCACGCCGGTTTTCTTTGAGGACATTCGTTTTCCATTCGTGCCGAAGGATGGCTCTCCCACACTTAAATAGTAAACGGGTTTTCTAGAAGTTATTAAGAATGTTTAAAAAATAACAAAGATCCCAAGATTTTATATCTAAAAAGAAACGAATAATTATTTCCCCTACATAATGATGACGGAAGAAATACACACGAAAGAACAAACAAAAACACAGAAAAACATACCTTTTACACATAGGTAATTAAGTCTATTTTAGATCCCTATTATTTAATCCAAGGGCGCCATGTTCCAATGTCGCTATATCTCAAACAATGCATTGGAACAACAATAAATTGAAAGTTATTACAAAATGATATCTGCCAAGTCCTATATCTTACTATAAAACTAATTTATACAAACACAATGACAATTATACGTGTATTATTATTATATTTGGGTCTTATAATACTAGCAGAATACCTGCGTCTTCTAAGCGGATCTTCAACGGACACGCCGCGGTTACGTCGCGAATCGTAAAGTAGAGAAGAAGTGACGAAAATACGTCTTGGGCGTAGTTAATGTTAACGTGACGCATTCGTGACGCAGCCGTGGCGTGTTCGTTGCGTAAACGTAACGTATTCGCTGCGTATCCGATACGCTTTGAAGACGCTTGCAAATCCGATAGTAGGCTTAAATAAAATAATACTCTTTTATAACATTGATAAATTTAAAATGAGTTTAATAAGCTTAATTAATGAATCAACATACGAGAGCCTATGATAAACGAAATGAATTGTTACTCATTTCATCATAATATTACTTACTAGTCATTAGATCCAAGTTTTATATCATACTCTCCGTTTTTCTTCTCCCTATACTTTATTATTGTACCGATTAGCAATAGCAGCAGCGTTTCTCTTAAAATTATATAAATACTAGCTCTTACCCGTAGCGTCGCTCCCGTCATTTGACTACCTACCCTACTCTACCTACCCTACTCTACTTACCCTACCTGCCCCTCTTTACCTACACTACTCTACCTACCCTACTCTACCTACCCTACTCTACCTACCCTACTCTACCTACCCTACTCTACCTACCCTACTCTACCTACCCTACTCTACCTACCCTACTCTACCTACCCTACTCTACCTACCCTACTCTACCTACCCTACTCTACCTAACCTACTCTACCTACCCTACTCTACCTACCCTACTCTACCTACCCTACTCTACCTACCCTACTCTACCTACCCTACTCTACATACCCTACTCTACCTACACTACTCTACCTATCCTTCTCTACCTACCCTACTCTACCTACCCTACTCTACCTACCCTACTCTACCTACCCTACTCTACCTACCCTACTCTACCTACCCTACTCTACCTACCCTACTCTACCTACCTTATCCTATCCTATTCCCTTCTCCTAGCTCTAAACTACCTCCCTGCCAATTTTCAGCTAAATCGGTTCAGCCGTTCTTGAGTTACAAGTGGAGTAACTAACACGACTTTCTTTTATATATATACTTATATAGATTGTCAATAATTAAGAGCCCACGAATTTGTACTTATTATCAATCCCACACGCTGACTACAATTTCAAAAAATTGAACCTGCATGAGCATGTTGCCGACATAAAATTTTCGATTATTTAAACCCAAAGAAGTTCTGACAAAGCCGGTAGGATACATTGTAATATCATTTTAGTACGGGAACGTACAAATATTAGGAGTCGTAAACTGGAGCCATAATATCGAAACATTGCGTCAAACTATACTCAAATTTTATTACTACCTATACGTAAAATTGTATGATAAATATTATATAACATAGCCCCATCTTTAAGGCTTACTGATCTACGAGCTCTGGTGAGCTGTAACAAGGCGGGAAAAATCATCCATTGAGTTTGGAAACTTCCCGTTTCCCCAAAAAAAGAGAAAAAACAATACCAAAAAAGTGTGGGAGAGCCAAGCTTCGGCGCGAATGGGTTGGCTCGACCAGAGTGATACCACGGCACATAGAAAACCGGAGTGAAACAACGACAGCGTTGTGTTGGGCGCCGTGTGAGTAAGGTTACAGGAGGCCCAATCCCTACCCCTACCCCCTATCCCTTTCCAATCCTTAAATATCCAAAACTTTTATCCCTAAAAGGCCGGCAACTTACTCGTAACTTCTATGGTGGATGTCCATGGGCGTCAATTGCTTCATCATAATCAGCCTATAAGTTCCCACTACTGAGCAAAGGCCTCTTCTCATACGGAGAAGGTTAGAGCATTAATCACCACGCTTGCTCAATGCGGGTTGGCGATTTCAAACTTATAATTAGAAATTATAAGTCCAGGTTTCTTCACGATGTTTACCTTCACCGTATGTCAGTGGTGTCTAAATAATCTTAGAAAGTACATGTAACTCGGAAAAAGTCACATTGGTACTTGCCAGGTTTCGAACCTACACCCTCATGAATGAGAAGCGGGCTTCTTAACCTCCGGGCCACCACGACATCGACATCGTTAATTGCTTACCATCAGGTAATCCACTTGCTCGTTTGCCGAACTATACCACAAAAAAAACATATTTACACAATAATCGAGACACAATTATTATATACGAAACTAAATTAACCTCAAAGCTTACAATTTGTTCGTAAGACACGACAGACTGAATGGACAGCCACTTGCAATATATTTAGCCATATTAAATGTCGGTCATAAACTAGCCGTGACGTCACACGTACATGTGCCAACTCTTGACTCCCAACAGACGTTTCCTTAATGACAATTATTTGTTCAATTTTCATTCTGAGAAATATATTTTGAAGATCTAAAGCGTTCTTCATATTAAAGCGTCACATTCACGCCTGCTTGAAATTGTAGACATGTGGGTAGACCACCCTGTATTTGGTAGCTTCGGTTTCCTTTTTTAAAAGATGTTTATTCCTAATAAGTGTTTTTTTTTTTGTATTATCGTGTCGTATCGTATTCTTATGTCGTCGTGGTCAAAGGTTAAGGGGTGCTTTAACCTCTGAACTGAGCAAAGGTCTTTTCTCACATGGAGAAAATTTGAGGATTAATCACCACGCTTGCTCAAGGCGGATTGGCGATTTTAAACTTATAAGTCAAGGTTTCCTCACGCTCTTTTTTCTTCAGTGATGTCTCAATTACCATATAAAGTACATATAACTTGGAAAGTCACATTGATACTTGCCAGGTGTGGAACCTACCCCTATGCATGATAAGCGGGGCGCCTTATCCTTCGGGCTACCACGACACTTAATTCAAACTAAATATGTATGTATAAAGTGTTATGTAATTACATTGGCTGAATACTCGTATATCCACACTTTGTTAATGCATACCAAAATAAAACAAAAGACAATCGCGTTGTCGTTTCGAGGCGCGACACACAGCGCGTGTCACGTCACACGTGAAATATATGACACAGATATATGATGCACCAACTGCTCTGCGTGAGTGACGGCTTCTTAAATACATATGTAGCTGCTTATTATTATGATACTTGTTCGGCCCTAGAGGAAGGAAAAGTGAGAGGCGTAGTCACGTTTTAATTGTAACCTCGTTTAAGAAACAAGGTGCGCTTCTAGGTACGTACAGTCAGGGGTCAAAAATGCAATTACAGTCTACCAATTTTAAAATGACTCAAATTTCTCTGTAGTAAACGTTCAATGGTTCACATCCAGTTTATTCAATAATTTAGATTCTATGCTATAAATTATAGCAGTCCTCAACCATTGACCCTATTCTACAAAGATTATTTGGTCATTTTAAAATTGGTAGATGCAATTGCATTTTTGACCCCTGACTGTACCTAAGTGTGGGAGAGACATGCTTCGGCACGAATGAGTCGGCTCGACTGTAACGATACCACGGCCTCACAGAAAACCGGCGTGAAACAACCACAGCGTGATGTTTCGCCGTGTGAGTGCCGAAAGCCCAACCTTTTCCCTCCAGGTATCCCTTGCGCATCCATAAATACCTAAAAACCTTATTCTCAAAAGAAGGTTTTGAGGACCGAGCGTTAACTCCAAAGTGTTCTTTCTTTAGTTCATGAGATATCACTATTATTATACTCTCCCTCTTTCACGAAGGATCAGCGAAAAGATTGAATGAACCAATCTCCCACCTCAGAAAATAAACAACGTTGCTAATGTAGCAAGAAATAAATTTGCTCTTTGGCTGTAACAGTAAAAAAATGGACGTCCAGTGGTGTTACAATCTATTTTTTATTGGATAAAAAAAATATGTTAGTCATTAAGAGTCCACATCGTCTCACCCTGTGTGAGAGAAGAAATTTGATGATTTTCGCCCCTTTAAATAAACATTCTAAAATATCTAACAAGAAAATTCTCTGTCTTTTCAGGTACCGTGGATGAAAAGTGAGTGTTTTATAAAGTGATGAGTAAAAATTGAGTGAGTGAGTGATGGAGGCGACGCCGCTGCCTCTGGAGGTAGACGAGGAAGGTCGGCCGCAGCAGGGATCCTCGACTGGCAGTGGATCTTCATCTGGAACTGGATATTATGCTCATAAAAACGGTAAGTGAGATATTAGCAATTTTTTAGAATTATTTTTTTTTTTGTTCATTATTTTCCTTTACTATTGATCAATGAAGAATATTAGGTACTTTTTAGAGTTTGAACTTTTTTGTTCATTCATCATTTAGCAATGAAGAATCATTGTCATTCATTTGTTTATATTTTAGGATAGACTTTTTTTTAATAAGCGAACGGACCACCTTTTGGTAGGCAATCAGCGCCACTCATGAATAGCTGCAACCTCAGAGGAACCACAAATGCGTTGCCACTCTTTTGGCAGGCAGACTGCATGGGTGGCGCCATCTGCTTACCATCAGGTGACGCTACTGCTCGCTTTGTAGTCTATCCTAATAAAAATTAAGGCCCTTACTCTATAAGTGCTAAGAAAATCAATCATAATAACACAACAACGTAATTTACACCAAAATAGCTTGTTCTAACAAGTTATTAAAAGTAACTTACGCTCCAACTCATTTATATAGGTAAGTTGTAACAACCATAATTACTTAGTCATTAAAACGAAATTTAAGTACGATTACGTCTAGAAATTTGTACTATTCACTGATTTCGTTTTCGGTAATCCAAAAACTAACATAATGACAGACTTCGAAGCGACGTAACTTGTAAATTACTTGAAAGTCAACACGAAGCTACTCTTATCAGATTTGCTTGGGGTGTATTCACACGAGCTGTGTCGTTTTTGGCAAATTCAAAGTCGAATTCATCGTTATCAGCCTATAAGTGCCTCTCACTGCTGAGCAAAGGCCTCTTCTCAGATGGAGAAGGTTTGAGCATTAATCATCCCCTTTGCTCAAGGCGAAGTCAAATTATTTATTTTAATTAGATTTAAGACATTTTTGAACGTGAAAAATGATTAAAATGCAAAATGTTTCAGTAGCTAAATCCTCTATTTGCTCATTTCAAAGTGTAGATTTCTATGTAGAAGAATGAGCTAGAAACTCCGTGGATAATCTTTCTTAATCAGTTCCATAATCAATATTTTTATTTCAACATTAACGTTGACTTTTGTAAAGTACCTACGTGACTGACACGACTATTGAAAATGATAAATGAAGATCCAGATTTGAACATGAGTAGGTATATTGTATCTATGATGATGATATGAAAAAATCAGATGTCATGGAAAAGTCATGCTTCGGCACGAATAGATCAGGTCGACTGGAGTAATACCACTGCTTCACAAGAAAAAGGATTGAAATAAGCCTTGCCCAATCCCGATTTATCGAATGACTTCTCCCACCCCGCGCGGAGCGAGAAGAAGTAAGTAGAGAGACGAAGTCAGGACCCTTACTGAATAAAAATCACCTTATCGCGAGTGTAAGCGTTCTTTAGCAAAACTGCACTGGTTTTTTTTTATATATAATAGGTCGGCAAACGAGCAGACTGATTACCTGATGGTAAGCAATCAGCGCCGCCTATGGACACCCGCAATGGAGGACAAACGAGTGCGTTGCCGACCTTTTAGGGATTATGGATTTGGAGATTTGGGTATTGAGGAAGGATTTGGGGAGGGGAAGGATTGGGGGAGGGGAAGGATTGGGCCTCCGGTAACCTCACTCACAAGGCGAAACACAACGCTGTGCTTGTTTCATGCCGGTTTTCTGTGAGGCCGTGGTATCACCCCGGTCGAGCCGATCCTTTCGTGCCGACGGCACAGATTGCTTACTATCAGCTCGTCCGTCGATTGTTTTACTCAACCATCGTACAAATAAAAGTCTTTCATGAGTTAAGGGTAACTTTCGATGCGTTTGATCACAACCTTACACTTTATGAGGGCTGCCACCGAACCAAAATCTATGAAGTAATGCTAGATTTTCAAGATTACCGTCGACACGGTTTTCAGGTCGAATTTTCGTCGCGAAATGTCGTTAGAAGTTTTAGTGTGGAACTGATTTGAGTTTTTGATAAGTTCGTCTCGCTTTCGTGCTCTTGTACATATACTATGTTGGATTTTATGAGGAACTAGTTACGTTACACCATGGAGTTTCGCCTACCGCGCGGCTCTTATCGGTCGTGACGTGTTGTTTTATAGACTAGCTTAGTCGCATCGATAAATTGACTATGTAACATAAATACAATAATTTAATTCAATCTAGCATTTTCGGAGCTTTATTACAAAGATAGCTTTAAATTATTTGTCTAGATAAATGTCTATTTTATGTGAAACTAGATTTAGCTAGATATTTTTGTCTACACATAATTGGGCGTCTTTTCTTTAGCGCGGACGTCCTTAAGTTATTCTGCGCAACGCTTGTTGCATTGTTGATCGTACGAGTACATGACGCAGGACGTTCATTGCTATGAGCTCCGGACATGGTTTGAAACTAGTCAGGTTATGTCGACAAACATTTTTGCGTTGATTTAACTCGTAAAATATTAATTAGTTAATGTTTAATGAAAGTTACTTTCAACATTATTGTAAGTGTGTATTTCTTAAAATTAATGAAATGAGTTATTGTCCACAAAATTTTCGTAATTCCTTTTTTTATAAGTCGTACTTACTTTGTTGTATTTTATCTCAGTTAATATGGCAATTATTGTTAAGTAATGCTTTTTTTTTAATTATAGGTTTGAATAAAAAAATGATTAGAATGAATACACTTACAAATATTTGGTTAACTATACCTACAGAACCTTGTTTCCATGAATATTGTCATCAAATCGTCATTACGCAGTAACAATATATGTACGTGTGTGAGTTACTTTCTGTTTGTTTGTTTAAGGGTGAAACAAATAAACGTAATATTAATATTTTCCGTTTGTCTAATTTTATAATTTACCCATAAAATTGAAATTAAGGTTTGCAAAAGCAAAAGACTAATAAAAAGATATTGTCTTTTTTTCAAACTAAAGGTATCGTTAAACTATCGAATGATTGGTTTAGTGGTTCAAACAAGCGTATGAAATGGCTTTTATCTAATTGATAACTTAAACACAGTTACGAGTGCCTCAAAGAGCCAATAGACCACCACAGATGGGGCCCTATAGGGCTGATGTTCAGCCGGGGTTGCGGAGCAAGCGCAATGCTACCTGCGCGTACCTATCCCTATCCTAAACTAAATCTGGTAAAAGGTACTCTTGCCTCGACCTGAAGCCAGGAAGTTATGGGGTAGTTTTTTGTCTGTATGAGTCTGACCTGACCGACTGACTGAATTGTGAGGATTTTTCCATCAAAAAAAGGACTTAGATCTCTTTACTGTTTTCTAATATGTTGCTTAAGAGTATGTATGTACAATTCTGTATTATTTGTCACTTCCAAATGCTTATCAAGAGCGTTCATGCCTAAAGGAATTTCATACAAACTTTAAGGAAAAATCATGATAACTACAGAACCAATTTTAATGAAACTGAGTACTCATCGTAATTTATCAAGTCCTAAAATTTTAATTAAAAACAGTTCTGGAGTTTTTTATAATTTTATATTCCTTATCTGCCACGGCACCTTTCGGTGTCTTAACATTCTAATTGCGAAATTTTAATTATTTTAGAATCAACATAGTATAGTAACAAATCGATATAGTACTACTAGTACTCATGATTTTTGACTGAAAAACTTTTGTATCTGTAAAAATCATGAAACGTGAGCACTCTTAATCTTTTTAGTGCAGATAGAATTTAAGAATCTTTAGAACTCACGTGGCTTTTAAACCAACATTCAGTTATAAAAAACAAAAAAAAAATAAAACATCGCAATTTAAAAATCCATAACTACAAATCTCACAAAATCCCCGCTAAAATGAAACATAAATTTCACCTTAAAACAATGAAACACGTAAAAGAAAACACAAATTTATAAAATAATAAAATAAATTACGACTAAACACGAGAATAAATATGTGTATTATTAAAATATAAAATACAACACATTTTAACACGTGTAAAAATAAAATGTGTAATAAAAATATTTTTGTGATACACGGGGTTTGTGTTTAGTGCGAGCTATTTAAGAAATGGAGAGACGGTTTGTTAATAAAAATTTAAATTTATTTTATACTAGCTACTCACGCGCGGTTTCACCCGCTGCACAGCTCCATTTGATCGTAGCGTGATGTTTTATAGCCTATAGCACTCAGGAATATTGTAGCTATGTATCAGTGAAAGAATTTTGGCGATCCGACCAGCGGTTCCAAAGTTTACCCCGTTTATAATGGTCGGCAAATGAGCAGACGGATTACCTGATGGTAAGCAATCAGCGCCGCCCATGGACACCTACAACACCAAAGGAGTTACGAGTGCGCTGCCCTACTTTTAGGGATAAGGAAGAAAGAAAAAAAGTAAAGAAAGAAAGAAAGAGAACTGTTTTTATTCGGACCGAGACATGAAGGCCAAGAACAAGGGGGTAAGGGTTTTGGATATTTTAGGATTGGGAAGGGATGTGGGGAGGGGGAGGTATTGGGCCTTCGGTAACCTCTCTCACACGGTCAAATACAACGCTGTGGTTGTTTCATGCCGGTTTTCTGGGAGGCCGTGGTATCATTCCGGTCGAGCCGACCCATTCATGCCGAAGCATGGCCTTCTGACACTTAGAAATGATTAAAATTTTAATATAAAAATGTCTTACAATATTCGGTAATCGGAGCCCTACTTCATTTTAAACCTTCGACGTCATTAAAATCACGACACCAAAAATAAACGTAGAATTTAAATAAATAAAAAAGAATTCCACGAAACGTCAAACGTTTTGTTTTGTTTTGAACCCTAATATCTGTCAAGATAACCGTTATTTTTATTCGGAATTCGAACTATAATAAGGTAATTAACAGCTAAATCAAAATTAATACGACTGTTATGTCGGTTTCAGATAAAATTGTAACAAATACGAGTCGAATCTTCGCCTCGCCCATATGTCATTCAGACTAATGGCCAATGAAAATAGGAAAAATCCCTTTAATTTTCTACCTATAACAGTGGCTCTCAACCTTTTTTTATTTCTTCGTTATTTGATGGCACAAACGTCACCATATCAAGCCAAGCTCTCT